TATATATATAAATAAAAGAGCTTAGTGTTAAGTGAGTGAGTGACTGACTGACTGACTGACAGATCATCGCCCAGACGAAACGGCTAAAGATAGAAGCTTGAAATTTTGAGTGTGGGTTGTTGTTGTTGTGTAGGCGTGAGAATAGGGCTGGGTTTTTGGAAATTCGAATAGAAGGGTATGAAAAGTTCTAAAATGTACCAGATATGGTACTTTTATATTAGGCGAACGGGAAGAGCTATTTGGAATGTGCACTGATGGAAAGTTAAAAGTAAAGGGTTATTGGAAATTCGACCTATAAGCGCACTAAAAGTACTAAATTTAGTTCTAATTGTATATATTGAACATATATAGCTAAAATCTTGAAATTTTTTATTGAATACAGGTTGGGAAGTGGTGTTGACGTATGGAAATTGTTTAAGAATTTCGTACTTATGTTTATAAAAAGTACAAAATGGTACTAAATTTGGTACTATTTGCAATTAGTTGAGTGTATAGAGATGGAATCCTAAAAATCAGAATTAGGATTACTGTTGGAGTACAGGATTGAGGTAGATTTAAAAAATCGTACTTATGTGTACGAAAAGTACTTAATGGTACTAATTTTGGTGCATGTTAGATTTCGGTTCACAGATGGTGCTGGAGTCTTGAAATTGGGAATTAGTACACGAAAAGTACTAAATTGTACTAACTTTAGTACATTTTGGATTTTGCTTGAATGAGCTGATGATGAGCTGAAAACCAGAAATTTGGAAATCAGATTACTGTTGAAGATTTAGCTATAGATACATCTTTGGAAATTCGAATTTATGTGTTCAAAAAGTACTAAACGGCACTATATTGGGTAAAATTTCGATTTGGGTGAACTGGAAACCTAAAGTTTGGAATAATGTTTGCTTTTGGAATATATAATTAAGATATGGAAGCATAGTACTTATGTGTACTAAATGGCACTATATTTGGTACAACTAGATTAAGTGTGAATAGATAGAGTTGGACTCCAGAATTTTGAATTTAAAATTACTTTTGGAATGTACGATTGACGTAGTTTAGGAAATTCTTAATTATGGAAACAAAAATTACTAAACTGTACTACATAGTTAACAACTTGTTTTTGTGTGAACGGATTGGGTTGAGATTCTGAAAATTTGAATTAATATTACTGTTGGAGTGCAGGATTGAGATATGTCGGTAGTTTTGAAAATTTTGTCATTACGTGTACTAAATTTGGTACAATTTAGATAAGAGTGAACGAATAGAGTTGGAAAAATTAAATTTGGAATGCAAATTACAGGATTAAGGTAGGTACTTATGGATAAGAGAAGCACTAAATGGTACTAAATAGGGTACAATTCGTTTTGTGTGAGCGGGAATCCTAAAATTTGGAATTAAAATTAAGGTTGGAGTGTAGGATTGAGACATGGAGGTAGTTTTGAAAATGCGTGATTGTGTGTATTAAATGGTACTAAATTTAGTACAATTTAGATTTAAATGAAAGGATAGAGATAGAAAACTTATATTTGAAATAAAATTACTGTTAGAGTACAGGATTGAGACAGTGTTGAAAATGCAAACTTAAAGTACGAATAGTTCTAAATGGTACTAAATATGCAACAATTTGGTTTTATGTGAACGGATAGGGCTGGGATCATGACATTTATGAATCCTTAAATGTGGACTAAAGGTTATTATTGGAGTGCATGACGGAGGTAGTTTTGGAAATTCGTACTTATGGGTACGAAAAGCACATAATTTGGTACAATTTGGTTTTTGATGAACAGACAGAGCTGGAATTCTTAAATGTTGACTTACGATTACTATTTGAAATCAGGATTGACGTACATTTGGAAATTCGTACTTATGATTACGAAAAGTACTACATTTGGTAGAATTTGGACTTTGGTGGAATTAAGATTACTATTAGAGGGTAATAAAATTGGAACTTGAATTTGAATTTGGTTGCATCCTGAGATTTAGAATTTAGATTACTGTTGAAGTGTAGTATTGAGCTATGGAGATAACTTTGGAAACTCGAATTGATGTGTACGAAAAGTGTAATAGAAATTTCGGAAAATAGTGTTTATGTTTCCATATAAAATAGCAAATCAAAATAATTGTTTTAATGAAATTACTCTGCTATGGCCTTTTTTGGATCTTAGCTCTCCCATAGTTGCTGGTGGATCTAATCAGTCCATGCTTAAACTATTATTAATATATTGTGATCATTTAGTGGTGTTCTATATAGGTTAAAATATAAATTGAGGACATAATTCGATTTGTTAGTATTCCTCACATCGTTTTTTGTTATTTTCAACTTTCTTTTCATTGCTGTTGTTGTGGTTTTTTTTATTTTTATTATATTTTTTTCTCTTTATTCCATCTCTACTTAATTGTTTTGTTTTTTTTTACAGACACACACACACTGTTTTTATTTGTTACATACATACATTACGTATATGTATATGACGTATAAAAAATATATACTAACATGTGTCTTCCATATATATACAAATATTTAAACAAAATTGTTGTTTGTCGTTTCGTTTTGTTTTTGTCGTTATTCGTCGTTTATCTTTCTACCGGCTGACAAACAAACAGACTGGCTGGCTGGCTAGCTGCCCATTACCGGCAACCAATTTTTTTGTTTGATTCTCCTCAATATTTTGTATTTTGTGTGTGAAATCTATTCACTGTTGTTCGCTCATAGCGAAAACATTAAGAATTGTTCGCTCCCTTCATCGCTCGTTTTTAGAACCGACCGCCACGAGTTTTCTGTATTTTCTAAAACGCATTTTACTTATTTGAAATCGGGGAAAAAGTTGCGTAAGTTGCTGTGTAGTGAGTTATTTGTTATTGTGTTTTGTTGAAAACCCTCGCAAATAATAACAAATATTTTTTTGTTTTGTGATGGTGTTAGAAAGCCGGTTTTCTGAAATGCCGGCTAAAAAAGAAATAAAAAGTGGATTTAAGTACATGTTTATAAAAATACATTGACTTCAAAATATAAATAACATTAAATGGATTTGAGTATTATTATTTTTATAAAATACAATATGTAAAAAAATATTCAAAAATGCAAATTTTAAAATAAAATATTTTAATAAAATATTTTAATAATTTAAATACAAACCACCACCATTTAAAACCAAATTATGAAGTGCATCAAATACAAAAACAAATGTGTAGTTGGCTATTTTATTCCCAGGTTCCATAATCTACAAATCGTGCTATATTTAATTGAATGATAATTAGATTGAAAATTTATTAAGTAAATATAACAAGATTGTGATAATTTCCATTACACCATGTTAGTGTTATTGTAAAAAAAATAAATAAAACAGATATCGAAAGCCCAGAGACACACAACATGTTCACATCTCAATGTTAATTATAGTATATCGCCTCATAAATAAGTATATGTACATCAAAGAATATTTGAGGTAAAAAATATTTGTGATTGATACCAATGTTCGTCGTGAGCACCTGAATAGGGAAATATAGAATAGAGGAAAAATTTGAGGAATAGAAGATGAGATTAGATGCTATATCTAGCTAGTAAAGCATTTGGAGCTATGCATTTTAATGGCATCTATTCCTGAGAGAAATTTCTAATCAAACAGTCGATGTCCTTTGCTACGTAGCGCCGGACACCTACATATAGCAGGTGAACAACTAGTTCTTTCTCGTCCTCACATATACCGGAGGGATCTATGAAATCGGATAATAAAACTAGTAAGACGAAACTTAATACAGATTGGGACGATAGTATAAAGCGAAGCTACGGAATATGGACTATCTTTGGCAGAGATACTCTTGATCTTATATCATCAACCCACTTCCCTGGTTGTATGGGCCATAACGCCGAAGTGCGATATGCACATCGGTATAGGGTTCGAACCAAGGAAGAGGAAAAGTTGATTGAAAACACTTTAAGAACACCCAAAGCTGGTATGGGCAATAAATAGCTTCTAACTCTACAAATCCCCGGGTCCAGATGGCATAATACCGGCCATGATGCAGCACGTAGATGAAACAGTATTGATCACTCTGCTGGCGATTTTTAGGGCTTGTCTGCGTTTATCGTATATACCAAGTCTATGAAAAAAGGTAACGGTCACTTTCATCCCGAAAGCTGGGATGCCGAGTCTCATACGCTACCTAAAGACTAAGTCTACCTTACATTTCTAAACTCTTTAGTAGAAAGAAAAATATGCTAATTGGTCTACAAGGGCTGTTCGGAAAGTTCTTAGTCTAGCACGATATCGATACTCATTCAAAAAATATGTTTTTAAAATCCAAGTTTTAAGAATTCTATATTCCTTCAAATTATTATTTTCATTATAATATTATTATTTTTTTTTCAAAATAATTTTTAAAAATTCTCAAAAAACAATAATTTTTAAACCAACAAATTTAGATTGTTATTAAATCCAAAATAATCAAATTATGATTTTCTTTTCACAACCTGCATTTAATTTGAGTCACAAACATATCAGCTGGTAGCTGTTATCAGGAAATGTCAAAATGACGTCTTAGAAAACAATTGCCGGTGAAATTGTTTCACTTTTTTTCAATAACAAAAGAGTCAAAATCTAGAATTTTTTTCAAAACAATAACAAAATCATTTAGCTAAGGTAATACGCCATACAAAACAAGGCCGAATATTTTCTTTTCAACTGATAACACTTTTTTACCATACGGCGACTCACATGGTTCGCCTATCATAAAACAAATGAACCAATTATGATTTTCAGATAATGAACTATCTTCAAGTGGGTATTATTACCATTGACTAATTCCTTTAACTTTTCTATACTATTTCCAGATAAAAACAACAAATACAATCAAATAACTAATACAACTTTTCAATACAAAAAAGGAAAAAAAAATATTTTCAAATTGTTAAAAAGAAGGCATTGCAAAACGGATCGTTTGTGTGGAATACAAAAACATTTGTTTAAAATCATCGACATCATAAAACTGTATACGGAAACTGTTCGGCTATGTCCTCTGCTGCTACAACGGTCCCATCCACCGCTCATCATAAAACTAAAACAACGACAGCAGCAACTAAACAATCATTATCAAATATCAATAGTAAAGGAACAAAATCATCTGCACCACCACCTAAATCTCCATCGTCCTCCTCATCATCAGCATCACCTCAATTCGATATAACAAAGGACGAATTTGAACGCATCTCGGAGGCATTAAAAAAGGAAGAGTTCCGTAAATTATTTCTCGACTATATTGAAGAAATACAAGATCCGGAAAATCTTCGCCGCTATGAAGAAGAAATCAAACAAATTGAGGCTGAACGTGGTGTCGATGTCACCTTTGTACATCCCCATCCCGGATTTGTTATCAAAACCTCACAGAATGGCGAACAAAAATGTTTTATAAATTGTGCCAAAAATGAAAATGTGGGCAAGCCCACAAGTCAGGTCTCGTTGAATCATGCGACCGGTCAGAGAGGATTGAGCTGGTCTATTCCCATGGCCCAGGCACCGCCACGTGATGATTTCGATAATAATAAGAAACGTTGTTGTGTCTATGATGTTGTCTTCCATCCGGATGCCTTGTATTTGGCCGAAAAGAATTCGGCATTTCATAAGTGCCTGGTCGATACAGCACTGGATGCCGTTGAAAGGGAATTTAAGGTAAGGGTAATAAAATAATAATATAGTCCATAAAATAAGTAAAAGATCACTGCTTAAAGATCCGATGATGGTCATTCAATAAATAATTTTTAAAAATCCAAATGTTAGGTCCTTATAATGGGTCAAAAATAATTTATTTAAATCCGCATATAGGCCCTTGAAAAACTATTGTTAAAAATACACCATAAGATTTCTGATAGTCCTAAAAGAAATAGTTTTTTTTTATTCACCCTTAATGATCTGAAAAAATACATTTAAGATGGTAGTTCGGAAAGTTCTTAGCCTAGCACAAAATGCGCAGTATAAACAGAAAAATGTTAAATGTTTTGGAAACATCAATTTCTGTTATGAGCACATATTAAATTTTATTTCGATCTGGCAACTTCTTCATATAGAAACAGGCGCTCAAAAAATATTTAATATATAATATCAACGCTTATAGCTTCGATAGCCTTTCAAAAACAATTTTCAAAAATACATAGATGTTCAAATATAATTTTTGAAAAGCCATCAAATCGTGGCTTTTCAGCATGAAGAATATCACTCATAAAAATCCTCAAAACTTCAGGCTTGTAGTCCGCATAAAACTTTTTTCTTTTAAAAATCCACTCTTATAGATTAGATAACCCTTAAAAATGATTTTAAAAATTCCATATCTCCGCTAACATTTTTCCAAAAAGTTCTCCCTACATCTAACAAAAATCTCCACTTTCTATTTTGCAGGTAACACTGGATCGTGTTAATATCAAATTTCCCAAGCTACAATACAAGGGACTACCCAAACGAACTGTGATACGTAAATTATCAACAAATCCTCCAAATGACGCCGAGGAACCCCATCCATTGGAACATATATATCCAGCAAAACCATCTGTCGATGCAGATAAACCCAAAATGTTGCCCATGAAAACAATTGAAAGCGTTAATAAAAAATCCGAATATTGCACCCCAAAGTACACAATAACACATCGTCATGATGTCGATCTCAGTCAATATACAAATGAATTAGATGCTAAACTAAATGCCACCAAACCTCGTGAATTAGTTGTAGACATAGAACTGCCACTATTAAATTCCAGTAATGAATGCCAATTAGATGTTACGGAGAAATCGATATTTTTGCTTAGCGAAAAAGTTGGCGCTAAATATCGCCTTAATCTCGATCTACCCTTGAAGGTGGATGATAAAAATGGCTCAGCCAAATTTGATGTGGATACCAGGCATTTGGTTATAACACTGCCTGTTGTGCAGCCTTCGCTGGCCAAACAAAGGGAAATGCACGAAACTTTGTTACATTTAAATCGTGAAGATAGTGGTGTGGAAAGTGACATGCTAAACGAAGACTTGCTCTCATCATCCAGTAATACCGACTCTCCAGTGGAGGAATTGAATTCTTCGCATTTGGATGAAGTTCTACAAAAGGCTGTGAATAATAACGTTGCCACGGAGAGTTTTCTCAAGGCAAATGTCGACTATCAAATTCCAAATAAGTTCGATTGTAATGTCCTGGACAATACCATGTCAATGATACTGCAAGTACGTAACGTACAAGAGGATTCCATAAAAATGCAACAGCATGAACGTGCTCTACAAGTACAATTTAGCTCGGTGGGCTCTGGCTATTATCCCACATATTATGCCTTTTACATTGAATTGACCGAAAGCAATGGTGGCGTTATGAAGATCAGCCACGTTGAAGCTGAGGCCTGGGAAAATAATGTCATTCTTAACCTGCATCTCAATCAAACTGCCGAAAATTTAACTAGCTATCTAGCCGGTTTGGATAGTGAACATCTCAAAGAATATTTCATTTATGGCAAAACTAAAATGGCACACAAATCAAGGCAACGGCAAAAAATGGCCAAACCACAGGTCACAGTACAGCAGCAGCAACAGACAAATTTGGATATAACCATCGAACGTTCAGAGTGTGATAAATCCGTTGATATAGAAATTAAACCACGTTTAATGGAAAATTCCACCTGTAATGCAAATACCACAGAAGATGAAGATTCTCATGGGACGAACGGAAATGCGGATAATGCCACCGTGCAGAGTTCCAAGAAATTGAATAAAAAACAAAAACGTAAAAATAAAAAACGTCGTTCATTATCTGAATCGGCTTGCGATGATATAAAGGCATATCAACAGCAACAGGAGCAGGATCAACAAGAGCAACAGGAAAAATCACCTGCCATTATAACGGAAAATGAGGCTGACGTTGACGCCGACGACGATGAGGATGATGAAGACTCCTCACCTGAACGTTGTGATAAATCGACAAAGCCACCCAATCATCCCATATCATCATCAATGAATGTACCAACCGCGTCCGCCGCATCATCCAATAATGTTTCGAATTTAAATGCCATGGGACCACAGCAACGTAACAAACAACGTAGTTTCTCGGAATCACGTGATAGCGTTATAAGCCTCAGTGCAGGAAGTTGTTCCTATAAAGGTATTCTAAAACACTATAGCCGTTATGGACCACGTCCATCGCTAACCGATTCATGCTCCTCCATCGATGAATGTTCATCGTCGGCCTATTCCACGTCCGTGGATGGCATGACAAATGCATTTAATGCTTTACGTTTTTCACAATCATTCAGCGATATACCGGAAGAGAATGTTGTCGGTCTGTCGGAGAGCTGTAAGAAAACTGTACGCTTCAGTGAAGTTATACGCAAACAAGTGTTTAGGTAAGAATAAGTATTTTTTTTAGATTTCAATTTTTTTAAAGAAACAAGTACACGTACAATCATATGTTCATGGTCGATAATAAAAACCGTTAAAAATACTCCTTTTCTAGCCATTTCAAAAAAATGAGGGTGTGCCCATCTCCTATGAAGTTTATAGATAAAATGTCTTCTATATGCCCTCCATATTCATGTGTTATTGGATTTTCAAAAATAGAATATCTATTGCATTAAATAATTTTGACTTCGATAGGCATTCAAAACTGTTTCCTATTACATTAAATAATTTTGACTTCGATAGGCATTCAAAACTGTTTCCTTTTTACCGTTTAAACACATTTATCTAATGAACCCATTTTTAACCTCAGTCTTAAGGCTATTTGAAAAAATCTACGCCTTGTACTGGTCCCTGAAAAATATATTGAAAAAATCTATGACTTTTACTGGTCCCTAAAAAATATATTGAAAAAATCTATGCCTTTTACTGGTCCCTAAAAAATATATTTAAAAAATCTACGCCTTTTACTGGTCCCTGAAAAATATATTTAAAAAATCTACGCCTTGTACTGGTCCCTAAAAAACATATATATTTAAAAAATCTACGCCTTGTACTGGTCCCTGAAAAATATATTTAAAAAATCTACGCCTTGTACTGGTACCAAAAAAAGTCTACGCCTTGTATTGGTTCTTGAAAAAATTAGTTAAAAAATCTACGCCTTATAATGGTCCCTAAAAAGTTATTTAAAAAATCTCATATGGATACATAAGGATCCTTCAAAAAAATTGATTTCCTGCATCAATTTTTCAAAAAAAAAAAAAATGATTAATATAAGACACGCATTTTACGTCCAATTCATTGACTTTCATTCATCTTTGTTCTAAATTTATTTTTATTAATACAATTCTAGAAATCACCTCTTTCATCTGTTTTTTTTTTTTTTACTTTCAGATTGGATTCCAGTATCTTGGGTCAACGTAAAAAGAATCAAAAACGTCGTGATCGAAAACAACGAGCTCTACAGCGGCGTCTTAGTGAAGGTGATTCTGCCGATTATGAAGACAATAAGGTAATTGGAAGATATAAACGGTGGTTAAACAATTTAAAGATAAACTATTATCCACTTATAACACATTATTTATTTGTATTGTAAAAAGTGGACATGAACCCACGTACGTCACCACGAGATGTATACAAATTGTCACCACGATAACAACGCTGATCATGAACCTCTTCCGTCAGTTAGTGTTGTTTATGATTAGGGCAATTTAAATCTGCTGTTGTTTTTTTTTTCGGTTCTCAAATTTCCCCTATAGTATCTGGTGGTCGCACTAGATGGCTTGCGTCTTTGTTTTTTGTTTATCAACAAATGTTCTAGTTATTTATTTAATGATTTGCATTCGCCTGATGCCAAATCGAGTTGGCGATGACGTGCGATATTTTTTTATACGTTCTTTTTACAAATTGGCAAAGTTTATTTGTTTTTATTTTTTTTAATGATAATGTTTATTTTTTTATAACAACTTTATACCCAAGTTTTTATTTTATGATAGCTATTTTTTTCTTGTTTTCAAACAAACGTCATGGGAAGTAAATGCATGCATGTTCCTTTTATTTAGAAAAAATGCAAAACAAAAAACGGCAATCAAAGTCTTCCAATAACAACGACGGACGGGCGATATCATTAGAAAATTGATGGCATTAGGCCAAGTGTGTCTCTTTAGAACACATATTACGTATAGAGTAGTGCTTTTTGTTTTATCAATACTATAAATATTTTTTATGCAATTTATTATTGTGCATTTTTATATAGGACATGCTTCTTCTTATCTATTAATTTTATTTCTAGTTATTATTTAAGAGATTAAATCATCATATACTCGCGCATACGTATTTGTGAAATATGCTCATTTGGTGTAGGTTAGTTATACGTTTGTTGTTATCGACCACAACACAAGTGTCTATCGGGGCATGTATAGAAACATTTGACATTTGTTGATAATAAAAAAATGTAAGGCGCATATTTCTGATTGTTTTCGAAATGCCTTATTTTTTATTCGCAAATTATTTACTTTCTTTAAACTTAAACAGGAATAGGCCAATGTTAGTGCAACGCAATGAAAAAAATCTTCAATCCTTTCAGAATGGTGCCCTCAGGACTGCACCACCAGGATAGCTACCGTGTTCGTCACTGTAGTATTAATCACTGTAGTTTCCATGCTATTTTCCACGTCTGACAAGGGTGAGTCGTCCGAGAGTTGATTCCGGATGCTCTCCTGACTAAGGCGAATGGAGCCGGTTTTCTCTAATAAATTGAGGTGAAGATCCGTCTGACTCTTCAGGCCTTCGTTCACGTCGTCGAGAGTAACCTGACTTGAGGCAAAAGAGTGGTCCATGGGATTAGCTTCGGTCGTTAACATGTGTGGGGTTCATTGAAGTCTGACCTTGTAGAGTTCGAGACTGAGGGTGCCAAGACAGCCACACCAGCATCAGTCAAAAATCGCATACCATATTGTTTTTGTTTTTAGAAGTGGGGGGAAGGTGGGTTTATTAAAATTCGGTTCCATAGAATATGATTTTAGTGAGGGATTGAGGTCGACCATACGCCTGAATGATCTTGTTAAGGCGCCCAGGTATCAACAAGCTGTATTATCAAAAGCATAATTAGAATTAGTCTCGAATAATCTACACAATAAAATGCATTGGATAAGTCCAGGGCCACGAGAACACCACTTCCACCTCCATCAATTGTCTCTCTGATAAGATCAGTTAAGTCTACTAAGAGAGATGTAGTACTGAGCCCACGCCTGAATCCATATTGGTATCCATTTATATATTTTCGCTCATCAATAAATTCTTGAATTTGCTCCAATATGACGTGCTCGGCGACTTTAGAAAGTGCGGGTAAAATGCTTATGGGTCTGATATTTTCTATAGTAGGTGTTTCTTTAACTTTGGGAATGGGGACTACTCTTCTATCGGTTCAGATTTTGATATAGCTCTCCTATATATAAAATCGGCCGATTTGTGGTAAATGGTTCGCCAAAGGCCCTAAAAATCTTCTGATATGCACGAAATGTGGCATAGCATACTGAATTGAGTCTATAATGTATGTTTCGTGAAAATCGGTTCAGATTTAAATATAACTTCCATATATATTTTCGTTCGATTTAATAGAAAAGGTGCACTAAAGTTCTTACATATCTTTCGTTCAATTTCGACTTCCGGCGGAGATTATGTAGTATATACCCAAAGTGGTGAAGGATATGATAGATTCGGCCCAGTCCGACTTTACTACTTTTCTTACTGTCATATTTTTTTTTTTTTTTTTTTTTTTTTTGGGTACGTCACAGAAAAATTTAAATGTATATTCATGTTTTTGTTTGGCCCGCCATATTCGTTATTCAGCTGGTTTTCAAAGTTATTTGGCCTTCCATGTTCTTGATCAATTTACACAATTTTACCCCAAATTTAGGTTTTTTGATGGTTCTAGAAAAATTTTCCAACCGAGAACAGAAATTTTAAGTAATTTCCACATATCAAAAGTCAGCGTGTGGTATATTCTTGGATAAGTTAAATCAAATCGTATAAATCATTCCATTTTCTAAAATTTAAATCTTATCTTTTGAAAAGAAATCCAATTAATCTAATTCATGTCTTTATTTAATCTATTTCTAGCCTATGGTACCTCTACCTACTACTAATTCCAGTGCTCAATATTTGAAAACAAAAAATAACAACAACAGCAACAACAATGGTGGCTCAGCAGCATCAAATAATAAAAACGGCTGCAATAAATCCAAGGATAAAAAATCTAATCCGAAAAATAATCGACCAAGACTGGAGTCGGAATCATCATCGGATGTTGATAATCACAAGAATGCTATGATGTTTGAAATGGATATGTAAAGTTCAGATAATCATATATATTTTTCCCCATAACACCCACCAGGCAATCAAAGTATGTGGAGCCTAATACAACAACAATACTACAATATTTTTGGTATTGAACAAAAAATAAAAATCGGAAATCGAAACGTTTTTCATCGTTACAACATACATGCATTCATAAATACATTCATACCATCATCAGCACATGAAATTGTTTACTTAGCTATTAGAGAAAGTAATTTTAAATAATGTTATATAAAAAACACACACACACAAAATATTGAACAACAAATGGTAGGCTAGTTATAGTTAACTATAGTAGTTTTCATTTCAGAATAGTACTAAGCAAAAATATATTCTGAATATTCATATATTAAAAGAGAGTAATAATTGCCTTATAAGAAAACAAAAACAATACCTTATAACCACAACAAAAACAACATCAGCAAAAATGCATGCTTAAATATATAAATTGCTCACAAAACAAATTTTAATATCCCGCCCAAAAACAAGGGAAATACTTAGTTAACTTGAACACAGAGGCAGCGAAAATTCGATCCTTTGATTTGTTTTCATAAATTTGGCCTTTTTGAACAAACAAAATGTTTTATTTATGTGTTTTTATATAGTTTTATAAAGAATGAAAATTATATTAATTTGATTTCTTCTTTATTTGTAACACACACACACGTATATATTGCAGTGGTAAAAATTCCAAATAATACACTGCACTACCTTATTAACAAAGACTTTAAAATTGTTTGAAAAAGAAAAAAATTGTTAAAAAATTTAAAATTTATTTTGTTGCCAATTTAATTATTTTTATTTTCTTTCTCTTTATAGAAGAAAAGAAAAAAATAGTGTTAAAATTTATTTTGTTAATTCATTAGAAAGAAAAAAGCACTAAACCACCACCCTAAAAAAAAGAAAAACCTCTGGAGCATGCATACGCGACCCCTTCTAACTCTATTATTCAAATTGAAATACATCTGAAAAAATGAGAGAGGAGGAAGAGCATGATATTTTCTTCTTCTCAAACACACAAACGGAGTATATTCATATTATATAGGGTTTACTTCTATATTCAATAATTGTTCATATCAAGCAAAAACACATTTATATAGAGATTGTATGTAATTTGTATTGAGAAATCATCTTTTTTTCTAATGTTATGCTACATATATACATATATTGAAGTTATTCCTTAACACACATATATATTATATACAAACGTTTAATATTGTAATGATTACACATACGAAGGAAGAAACCTCAAGAGTTTTTTTTATTGTAACAATATTATTATTATTATGTACGTACACACTATTTTTTTCCTTAATTGTGAATAAACGAAAATTTTAAACGAAAAAAATTGAATAGTTTTTATTTACTTTTTATGGCAAGAAAATTAAAAAAGTTATAATTTCAACCAGGGATGGTCCGTGTGACGAATTTTTAGGTTTTCGACTGTCAAAAAGGTGTAAACGTCGAAAACGTCATATACCTGTATAAAATGTAAAAAATGTAGTAAACGTCATTTATTTCAATATTATCAACATATACAGTTATTTTCAAGAATATAATATATATTTTACATAAATTTTTTAAATAAATTTTACATTTTTACATAAAAATTTCTAACCTTTTCTGAGAAGAAATTTTTGAAATTTTATATGAATTTGAGTAAATCATACGTAATTTCCAAATTTATTAATTGAAATAGCTGTTTTGTCAAAAACCTTATGGTTTTGGGTAGGTTTCCGACGTTTCTGACGTATGTATTATACGTCGGAAATGTATGTCATTTACGTCACTGTTTCTGACAGACCATCTCTGATTTCAACGAAAGCATTAAAAATTGCAATTTTGACTGAGAACGTAATGTAGAATACCCGATCAGCATACGTTATGGGCCTACACGTTAGCCGCATCTCTTTACTTATACCACCAAAATCTTTCGTTGTCACCTGTAGAAGCGTCACCACAAGCTTCGTAGTTGCAACAACAACACGTTTTGAATGTTTTTCGATTTATTCGAAATTTACTATTTGCATGCAATGTTACCGCTGGAAATTAAAAAAAAAAGATGCACAACAAATTCGTTCCCTTGAAAAAAGGAAGTCGCACCGAAATTTAATTTTGTCAATAATTAATTTTTGTTCCGAGAATGTGTCAGATACCCTTGGAACTCAAGAACAACATAGATGAATCCGAATTAGTTTGAATTTACACCTAAAAAGGAAAATTCAACTTAAAAAACACCGAGAAGAAAAGTTGCACAAGGCATAAAAAGTTGCAAACAGAGTCGCATGGCATCAAAAAGGTTGCAAATTTCAATTTTAGTCGCTCAACCGTAACCCTACCACAATGAGTTCCGCTGGGAAGGGACATTGGAGAACAGGGGCCAAATCACCGAATTCGTCATTGAGTTCTGTTTCGTATGGAGAAACATTGATTTTCTCGTCTTCGAATTTAGAGGATGAGTACAATGTGTCATTAATAAGGAATTTAGTTTTGTTGTCAAATCGCGCGACAAGTTTTGGCTCTTTAATATTGCTTGAGTACAGTTTTGCAACTTATTTTTGGCTAAGTCTGGATGCTCCAAAATAAATCCAGCCTCTTTCTTGTTTGCATTTACTTTGTTTCAGTTTTTTTTTCATGCCGCTGCTGATTGATCCTTTTTTGATCCGTGTCCCTAAACGCAAATAATATATATTCTTGAATATATTTTGCCAACTTCAGTAGTGTTGGCGGTTTATTTGGGATACCATTTGTATTTTGTTTTTGCAAAATAGTCAGGCTGAATCCCAGTTTGTTGTTTTTATAAAAAAACAACTATTTATTAGTGGGGAATGTATGGCATTGTTTGCCGAGGGGTAAGGCAGGGAAGACTATATTTTCGGATCACGCCACTGATCCTCATCAGTTCCCTTAGTTTTTTGTTGGGATATTCTCCCCAGAAGCTATTGCTTCTATACAAAAAACCTTTCATACCCAAATGTCTCTTGTAACAAAGCGAAGTACTTAGGTGACCAACGACATAAACTGCATGAGAATTTCGCTGGAGCCTCACCTCGAGGTTAACAAAACATTTACAAACAATATGCACACAACGACTTTGTTGGTGTTGCTAGTATACAGCAACAAACCAAACAGTTTAACCGTGCCTGCGTCTACAACTTCAGTAGTGTTGGCGGTTTATTTGGGATACCATTTGTTTTTGCAAAATAGTCAGGCTGAATCCCAGTTTGTTGTTTTTATAAAAAACAAGTATTTATTAGTGGGGAATGTATAGTCTTCCCTGCCTTACCCCTCGGCAAAAAATGCCATACATTGCCCACTAATAAATAGTTGTTTTTTATAAAAACAACAAACTGGGATTCAGCCTGACTATTTTGCAAAAACAAAATATATTTTGCCAAAATAAATAATTCCTATATTTTCACCAACTTCTTGTTCCTGTTTATTTATCTTTTTCCGCGCAAAAATCCCTTAGTATGTAGTTTTCGATAGCATACTACCTATCGTGAACAACTTCGAGTAGAAACAATTCGACAACGACGTAAACTACATAACGATGCCGATGTACTCGACTGCGGTGATTGGGTCCCTGCTTGGGGTCTATTCCGGAGAAAAAAGTCTAGATTATCAATTTCATATTTACCAAACTGTCGGTGTCTTCTTCCACTTGGCGATGGACACCTACAGAGTATATGTTTAATTGTTTCCAACTCTTCCTCATCCTCACATAGACGGCAATAATCCACTTCGTTAATGTCCCATATGAAAATGAGATATAATCCCGCAGTGACCTGTTATGATTCTCACAATAATTTTTATCTTCCACATTCCATGAGACTGCAGCGAAGAAGTTCGATGGCTAGAGAATTTTGGTCAGATGGTTTTTGATTTCTGCATCCATGTTCTACCAACTACCTCGCAGTAGCTCATACAAATTTTGCCAAATAATTAGTCAATAGGAGGTTGTACAGATCGCTCAATCGGTAGATTGGACGACTGTGGACCCCTCGAACAAGCTCATGGGCTATCTCATTCCCTTCTATTTTACTGTGTCCTGGAACCCAACATAATTTAACTATGCGTCGTATATCATGAAGAGCATCCTTGCAATCATGAACCGCTTTTGAGCTAATAGTGCACGACTTGTGTGCCTTAAGGGCCGCCTGACTATCCATATATATAGTCACCGGTACTATGTTGTCGACAGTAAGTGTTTTGACTATCTCGACCGCTTTCATGATTGCCAGTATTGTTAAGTTTATATGAGTTGTAGATGGCTAGTTCCCTGCAGTAAACACCTGCACCAATACCTTAACTCCATCTTCGACCCGTCTGTAAAAATTTACTGTGAAACTCTACTCTAATGTCGTTAAAGTCGTTATGAGAGGGAGTATAGTCACTGATGTTAGCTCTCCTCTCTAGAAGGTCACAAACTGGCATTGTGTTTAGTTCAGCGACTTCCAGGCATCCGTTTCCCGGAGCCCTAGGGCATATCTTGCAGCCTGGAATTTAATCAGAAAATCCAGTGGTTGGAGATTCAGGATTGTAATTAAGGCTGCCTGTGGTGTGCTGCAAGGTGTAGCCAGAGGACTCCATATTCTTCTCGATACGTCCAACCACCTCATGTAAAGCAGTATTCACTGATTTGCCTTTGATGTAGTCATGCCGGCATTTGCTAATTTTATTATGGTTGATACTATTCCTAATTTCAGAGTCTAGTAACCTTTCTAAAGTCTCAAGAAGAAAGGAAGAGATTCTAATTGGTCTATAGTCCTTGGGTAGCGTATGACTCGGCTTCCCGGCCTTCGGGATGAAGGTCACCGTTTCCTCTTTCCATAGACTTGGTATGAGCGGTAGAGGTAGACAGACAAGCCCTAAAAATTTCGTGCAGCGAGGCTAATACTCCTTCATCTGCGTGTTGCAGCATGGCTGGTATTATACCATCTGGACCAGGAGATTTATAGGGTTGAAAACTATTTATCGCCCATACCAGTTTTGGGTAGCTTATAGTGTTATCATTCAACTTCTCCTCTTCTTTGGTACGAACCATATGCCGATGTGCACACCGCACTTCGACATTATGATCTATACAACCAGGGATGTGGGTTGACGATAGAAGCTCAACGAGTCTCTCAGCCAGAATTCGTCCACGTCAAGTCGCTTCGCTTAATACTGCCTATAGACTTTTTATCTTTATATAGTACTCTGCGAACTCTGGCCGCTTCGTTGACTCATTCGATTGACTCACTATAGCAGATCCAAGACTCACGTTTGGCCTTCTTCGATTTCACTGTTGTACATATTGAACTGTTCTCTATAAACGTCCCAATCTGTACTGAGTTTTGTCTTACTAGCTCTATTGTATGCTTTCCTTGCAGCCTTCCTCAAGGGTGCAAGGTTTCGTGACCACCATACCGGCTGATATCTTGTTTTCTTAGGGTATGTTAAAGGACATAAAGCCTTATAGCTCTTCAGATGAGTGACCGTGACATTGGTCACAGCTTCCTCAACATCCTCGACCGTTTTGAGATCTTTATGTTCCAGGATTGAGGCTGCTGTTTTGGCTTTGTTTTTTCCCAGTTTGTATTCCGATGATTATAAGGCTTATTCTGTTTACCTCTGGAGGTAGGAATTTGAAAAAATATCAGTCTATGATCTGAAAAGGAGCATTTCTCAGATATTTCCCAGTTCATAACCCCAGGGTCGTCCATATTACATATGCGGGTTATGTCAATGACTTCACCTATCACTCTATTAACGAACGTTGGTATATTGCCCCTATTACAAATTCTAAGATTATAACTAAGTATAAAATCAAAAATGGACTCACCCCAGAGGAAGTGCTCCCCCAGAGGAAGTGATGTGCATTGCCGTCACAACCGATGATGAGATCACCATTGCTACTCATCTCCTCCATTAAGCGGCGTACTTCAATACTGGGCGGCTCAGGAGCCTCATAAGGGAGTTTCGTCTTACTAGCTTAATTATATGCTTTCCTAACAACATTTCCCAAGGATGCCGGGTCCCACAGTTAATAATTATCAACACTTTCACCAAGAAGGACGGTTTAGCAGCCAATATTGCCACGTCAAAGCAGGAGAAGAATATCTGAGGAGAAAATCATAAAAAAAACTTATAACAGTAAAAGCCCAAAAGTCCGCCGGTGACAGCTTATCACTACTTAGTTGAATCATACAAATATGTGAAGTCATTTTCTTTTGTAAAATCAAAAATGGACTCACCTCTCGTATTGGTGTTGCTGCTCCCCCAGAGGAAGTGATGTGCATTGCCGTCACAACCGATGATGAGATCACCATTGCTACTCATCTCCTCCATTAAGCGGCGTACTTCAATACTGGGCGGCTCAGGAGCCTCATAGGGGAGTTTCGTCTTACTAGCTTAATTATATGCTTTCCTAACAACATTTCCCAAGGATGCCGGGTCTCACAGTTAATAATTATCAACACTTTCACCAAGAAGGACGGTTTAGCAACCAATATTGCCACGTCAAAGCAAGAGAAGAATATCTGAGGAGAAAATCATAAAAAAACTTATAACAGTAAAAGCCCAAAAGTCCGCCGGTGACAGCTTATCACATCATTTTCTTTTGTACCAGCAAAAATATGTATATTTTTCTCATAAAAAAATTTTAAGTTACAAAACATTTCCCAATATAAATATAGTAATAATAATCATTTACAGCATGCATGCATACAGAAAAAAAATAGCTTAGCCTAAAATTTCTCTTCAATTAAATTACGAAAATGTACAATTTGTTGCAGATCACGACGTTTTACTTCTAAAACATACAACACCGGGCAATCCAATGAACTACATTTCAGATCACCAACTCGACCACAACATGCCTGACAAATATGCTGTGTTGTTAAATAGCCTTTTTCGATTTTGGACATTTTCGTTTGCAGGATAATCAGCGAACGTGTTGGATTGCCACAACAGACATCACAAATTCCCTGTTTCGTATGTCGTCCACAATCCACCATACAATTGGTGGATGAGAAGAATTGGGAAATTGTACTTTTCTTTGATTTGTTATTGCCACAGGGAATGACTTCGTTAGCCGATGATAGAGCTGGTGTCATTAGAATTTTACGTGGTAAATTAGTAAACCTGGAAATGGCAAAAATAGGTTAGTTCATTGTTTAGGGAGGCTGGCGAGTAGTTACCATTCATTTACATCAGCTCCAATTAAGAGTAAACAACGATTTAATGGCGGTATAATGGCTTTGGTTATATAATATATAGCATTAATTTTAAGGCCCTCATCGGCTAATACGTCATGCGGGTGACGTATTAGGCGGATTAATGGCACCCCCGGTGGTCCATTGGAGATTATGAATGGTACACGTTCGCCACGTCTTGGTATGCGACGTGGATCGGTTTGTATCCATTTTCTGTTAAAGAAAAAATTTATAACTTTAAATATTAAAATTTAACACTTTCAATAAATAAAGAACTTAACGTGCGATTTTGAAAATTTAGCTGGAGGTAACATTGAGGTGTTATTATTTTTAAAATTTTTAAAATCAATCTTAACTTCACATTTCCTTCAATTGAATTATCTCCTCAGTATCTCATAACAAAATTCAAAAAATAAACATAATCTCAGAATACTTTGCCCCTTACCTTGTTAACTCCAGTGCTGGTACACAGGCATTGGCCTTATAACCATTCATGCCTCGAAATTCTTTGGCAAATATTAAATCTTGTATGTTTGCACGACCCGACAATAGTTTTGTAAATTGCCTACAAACATATTGCTTAACTTGACTAACGTCGGCCGTTTCAAAAAGTATGCGCAGGACTTTTTCCAACATCTGCAGGTAACATGTAATTAATTCAACATTTGAAATATAGATAGCAAATTTGGCTCTTACCTTCGCCACCATGGGACAACCATCTCTTCGTACTGTCTCAATACCCTTTGCCTCATAAACGGGCTCTTCTTGGTCGGGTGTCTCATACATATAGCCCACATAACGTTTTTTGGTCTAAAAATTAAAAAAATGAAAAATCGGTTAAAAAAACTACTCTACCACGCCATAAAATTAACAACCTAAAAAAGGTCGTAAGGTTAAATATTGTCAATGCAACGATGACAATTTCCTGGCAAAGCTGTAAATGATTTTGGAGAAAATCTTTAACGTTTCCTTCGCGAATCTCCCTAAAAGTTTATGCTTTCTGTATCGAAGCATGGGGTATCGACAAAGTAGATCTTCGATATTTTCTGTTTTCTCTTCATTCTCACATAGGCGGCAAGAATCCAACTCATTATTCTCCCATTTTGAAAAAAAGATCTGATTCTGCAGTGACATTTTATGATCCCTATGGTTGTCTTTATACCTTTTCTGTTCGTAAAAATTATCGGTTAATATACACTTAGAAATTACAGGTCAGATAGATTTTGAGGATTGCTAAAATCTCTGCTTAATTGCTAAAATCTCTGCTTTTTATTTTAGCCATGTCAATGTTTTAACAAAGCTAAGGATCTGCCGGAGAAGTATGTTAGATTATCAATTTCATATTTACAGAGCTAAGGATCTGTTTTCAGCAATGGAGATATGACGACAGTCAGGCTGGATGGGAGTAGCTCGAAACCCCTGATGGTCTCTGCCGTTTATCTCCCATATGAGGCTCATGACCCGCCCGGTATGGAACTGGTGATCTCATCATCGGGTGTGACGCCAATGCACATCACTTCCAATGGGGAAGCAGTAACACCAATACGTGAGGTGAGTCCATTTTTGATTTTATACTTAGTTATAATCTTAGAATTTGTAATAGGGGCAAGGCACCAACTTTCGTTAATAGAGTGAAAGGTGAAGTCATTGACATAACCCTCACTAATATGGACGACTCTGGGGTTATGAACTGGGAAGTATCTGAGAAATGTTCCTTTTCAGATCATAGACTGATATTTTTCCAAATTCCTACGTCCAGAGGTAAACAGAAGAAGCTTTATAGGAATCATCGGAATACAAACTGGGACAAAAACAAACTAGGACAAACAGCAGCCTCAATCCTGGAACATAAAGATCTCAAAACGGTTGAGGATGTTGAGGATGCTGTAAACAATGTCACGGTCACTCTTCTGAAGAGCTATAAGGCTTCATGGCCTTTAACATACCCAGGGAAAGGATATCAGCCGGTATGGTGGTCACAAAAACTTTCATTCTTGATGAAGGCTGCAAGGAAAGCATACAATAGAGCTAGTAAGACAAAACTCAGTACAGATTGGGACGTTTATAGAAGACAGTTCAATGGGTACAAGAGCGAAATCAAGAAGGCTATACGTGAGTCTTGGGTCTGCTATAGTGAGTCAATCGAAGGAGTCAACGAAGCGCCAGTTTTCGCAGAGTACTATCTAAAGATCCAAATTTGGAGGTAGTATTAAGCGAAGTGTTGGAACGTGGACAAACTCTGGCAGTGAAACTCTTGATCTTCTATCGTCAACCCATTTTCCTGGTTGTAAGGACTATAGGGAGAGTGCGCAGTGTGCACATCAGCTTATAGTTCCAACGAAGGAGGAGGAGAAGTAGATAGAAAATACTATAAGCTACCCAAACCTGGTATGGGCGATAAATAGTTTTCAACCATATAAGTCTCCTGGTCCAGATGGTATAATACCGGCCATGCTCCAACACCGAGATGAACGAGTATTAGCCACTCTGCAGGATATTTTTAGGGCTTGTCTACTTCTATCGTACATACCTAGTCTATGGAAAGGATATTTGTGTGCCCATACCGTGAAGTTCGCCATGTCCCTATGTACTTCATTCTAAATGAGCTTCTGGTTCCATGAAAGCGATTAATACATTATTATCGCATACAGATTGCTGCCGATCTTTGCACACTACTTATTTTAGACAGCAGTGTTCTCTTCCTCAGTGCCTCTCACAAGACTAGTCATCCATAGGTAAGATGGGAAAGGACAATTGCATCCAATGTACGATGAACGAAGACAGTCCCCAGCTCTTCCCTATTGAGTTCTTGAGTCCAATTTTGATTTTTTTTTTTCTAAATACAAGTTATATGAGTCACGAGAGTAATCGGTAGAAGTTTCAGTTTTTTATATTTGCGATAAAGTTTTTCATTGCAATTAACTCAGGAGTAATCCAAGGAGGTCTATTAGAATGGATAATACGAACTTTGGGTATGATTTTCAACAACAAATTATTTAAGATTGTGTAACAATTTTCTACAGCAACTTCAAGATAAATAGATTTCCAATCGACAGAAGATATTAAAGAATTAATTTTTGGATATTTTTTTAATGGTTTCTGATTAAAAAAGAGATTGATTATTTAAAATTATGATTTTCTTCTGGAGAAGATAAGGGAGAATTTATACATACATATGTTAAATATCTGAGGAACATTAAGAAATACCAAATCTAATAACCTGTTATTACAGCTTATTAGAAGGCTGAAAAAAGGCTGACAGCTCCCCGCCTTGTGGAGTGCCTCTGTTGAGAAACCTCCCATATGGAGATATCCCCAAGGCTTGCATTAATTATCCTGCTTTTCAGCATAATCTGGCTCCAACTTACCTGCAGTATACACGGTTGATAGACCTTTTCCAATTTCAATTTAACCGGATGTGGATTCTGTTTGGTTACCACATCGGCAATTTCTTCGCCGATGCGAAATGCCTCCTCACGATTGCGACCCGGAACCAAAACAAATAGCGAATCTGTATCACCATAGACAACCTTAACATTCCATTTTTCATTGGATTCCACAGTCTTAATTGCTCTCTCTAGAGTTTCACGACCTTTGGCTACAACAGAATCACCAACTTCGACACAAGGCATGCGACCACTAAAATTTGCCGCCGTATAACCATACGTGACATTTGCCATTAGCTTCAAACCCAATTGACGTGAATGGAGAATACGCTGTAAGGCCGAATTTGTTTTGTGTAGTTTCATTGACTGTTTTACCATTTGACGGGTATCTAAAATTTCTGTCAGCATTCGCGGTAGAATACCTTCACGCACTGATGATTTAACAAAAACCACACCACAGGGTGAAATTGTAATAAGATCACGATCTACAAGTTTTCGCAGCATTGTGGGAGAGACACGCAGCTGGGAGGCACCAAATTCAAAGGGAGTTGATCTGGAGAATGTGGGAGAGAGGAATCAAAATAGGTTTAAGTTTATTTGTTTATAAGGACATATTTACATTCCCAAATGTTCCACACGGCCCAAACAAGTGGAGAAGCAATAATTATAACCAATTATCATACTAGGGTATAAACTTTGAAAATCCAAAACAATTAAGGGATCAGCATAAAAACGGGATTGTGGCTCCAAAATGAGAGGTAAATATTCGGGAGCTCTCATGTGGGCTCTTTGCTGGACACTGGGTGAGGCGGGTACCAGATTTTTGGGTTTTGCTATTCTAAAGAAGTAACAACAACATTTTATTTGAAACCTGAAGGACGATTCAAAGCGATTTACCTTAACATCATACTTTCCACACGAAATTGTGAACCTCTCGACAACACCTCATAGAATTGTATGCCGATTAATTTGGCCATTTCACTGGTGCGTCCAATCAAGTCCAATTGATCCAATAATGCCAAGGTGCCTCGTACTCTTTCCAAATAGTATTCCAAAACAATCCAACGTGAACCGGGTGAAAAATACCATTCTGTCAGGGTGCGATAGCTGTGGCAGGGGCAACGTTTATGCATTATGTGATACATAACATTTTCAAAGGTGTATGATGTGAGGGCGATTTCCGAACGCATAAGACGCCAAACATCCAACAGAATGCGGCCACATAACTTCATCTGAAACCCAAAGAACAATTTTGATCTATATTTCATAATCTCTTAAAAAGGTTTAGGAACTTACCTCCACATCCAAATCGGTAAATGAATCACGATCTTCATCAATAAATTCCCGAGTCTTTTGTGATGGAACTCTTGACAACAGCGGTGCAATATTCAAACATAAATACTTGGCCCGATCAATAATATAACCCCATGAAGACATTTCAATTTCATAGCCGGCATATATGTCTGGGTCCCAACGTGAACATAAACCCAGCAGAGCTTCCAATGCCTCAACTTCACTATTAACAATTGTCACTTCAATATCTTTATCTAAGCCATGAATATGACCCTCTTTGGTTACCTTATCGCGTGGATCGTGTACCATAATGTAACCACATGATTTCCGTGGCAGCTTCTTGTCGTTATCGATGTGATCACTGGGTATACTATTTTCAATGGCATAAAATATACAACGTATCTCGTCGACTTGTGGATTTGGAAAGAAATCTTCACGTGTGGCCACAAATAATTCCAGTGCAACAATGGTAAGATAATTAAACTGAAAGTACATGGAGGGGAATTAATTAAGAAGGAGTTCGAGGAAGTATTGGAGCATTAAATGAAAACCTATAGAAGGTTTTTTCTGTTTATAGAAGAGGTCCAGACGGTATTATATCTACGGAAGAACTGAACAACGTCTCTGGTATATATAAAAGCTATTAAAGTTGTTCTATCTATATACGATTTAAAAACGAGAACTGGAGGAAAAGTTGGACGCAGTCATCGTAACGAATATAATCACTTATGATATTAACATATAAAATAAAAAATAACGGGCCTAAAACAGAACCCTGCGGTACACCACATGTAACTGGAATAGTGATGAAGATGACCTCAATCTACCTTCTAAATCACCAGAAGTAGAATTATTAGAAACAAACGAACTGTTTAAAGCATTAACACCAAAATTACATCCCGTTCCCCTAAGAAACCGCTAAAAAGCAGTAGAACTCACGGAACTACATTTTTTAGAGTAATAACTTATATGCTTACGTCGGATAATCGATTTGGCTTTATTTCTGAACTTACAGTACACTTTCCAATTCTCGCTGTTCTTATTTTATTGGTAGGCTTTGAATGCCATACTTAGCTGCCTTATAACAGAACGGTTGTTCCAAAAGTCGAGCTGAAAAAAGATTTTGAGGCGCTTCCCTAGGCAGCAACTTGGAGGACTCTCCTTGCTTCGGAGGAGACACCATAGTCGCTACCGTGTTTTTCATCGTAGGTCTAATCACTGTAGTTTCTTCCTCGTCTGATAAGGGCGAGTCTTCCCAGAGTTGATTCGGTATGCTCTCCTGGCTAAGGCGGAAAGAGCCGGTTTCCTCGTATAGGTTGAGGAGAAGATGCGACAGCCTCTCCAGGCTTTCGTTCACGTCGTCGAGAGTGGGACAAGAGGCAAAAGAGAGATCCAAGGGGGTAGCTTGTGTCGTCAACACTTGAGGGGGTTCTTTGAGGTCTGGCCTTGTAAAGTTCGAGATTGGGGGTGCCAAGGCAGCCACACGAAGGCAGATTTCCTTTCTCGAAGTGGATAACTTTCTTCGAAAGACTATCCTATATAAGGTTTGAGAATGTGCAGTTACTAACTTTGAATGCAACACTCGGAGATCGTCCGGTCCATTGTGATCATCCAAGAAGAAAGATTGAGAAATCTGTAGGGGAGAAAGGGCATAGAGAAGACAGAAGGTAGTGTCGATGATTGTAGAAATTTGGACAAAAACATATTACGTGCTTAGGTTGAACTGTACCAATTATCATAGCATATTAGTTACCACCCCGTTCAGCGGAATAAATGGAACTGTAGGGCGGTTGAAGTCGGTAGTATTGCTATAAGAAGTAATTGTAGTGTTTTTGGATCCATCGGTAAAAAGAAAAGTGTGGCCCTCCAATTTTTTTATTAAAAAGTGAATGATATAGCGATGCGTAAGTGTTAGATTAAAAAAAAACCTAGAAAGGGATGTGTCGATAATGTCATTTTGATGTGTTCATTTTTGGTGATTATTAGTTATGTAAGCTTTCATTATTATTGGTATTTGTAGTGACGTACAATATTTAATTAATATGTAGAGGACTGACAGTATTTTGGGGATTTTCTAGTAATTCGTTACTGTTTCCTTTGATTTTCTCACCAGTAATACAAAGTTGCTCGAATTAAGGGAACCACCCATTCTCGGGGTCAAATTTTATTTATTTTTTTTTATTTAATTCGAATCTACACTAATTCAAGAATGTCCCTACAAAATTTCAAGTGAAAATCTCAAGAACTCTTGAAGATATAGCCGATTTATTGTGTCAGCATCAAGTGACAGCTAAAGGGCTTCTCAAACTTTTTTTTTCCCTTAATACAAAGTTGTGTTTCTGCTGATTGATTCTGACCTCCTCTCTAAATAATAAAGAAAAACAAGTTCTTCCTTACCTCAATATCAGCCTTGGCTTGTTGTAGATTTTCCAAAGCGACTTTAAAACCATAGCTGCTGTTAAATGTTGTATCATTACTGCGACCACTACCGCCGCCACCACACATCGTAATATCTTGAGCCTCAATTTGCCGTAAAAATGAAGAACGCTCCAATTCAGCAAGTGCCGTCTGGCTTGATACACTTGTTTCACTGTTTTGTGAGGAATGTGGTAGGATACTCTCATCCGCTGACGGAAGAAGAATTTCTTTTTCTTTCACATCTTCTTGTTTGTTGTGGCACGGAGGAGGATTATCCTTTTCCAATGCTTCTTGCATTTTCTTATTCAATGATACTCGCCGCAGCACACGTCTATTGTGACGTCTTCTCGTCAACGGATTAAGGCGTTCCAATGGTATCTTCTCAAATTTCGTTGTGACGGGAGTACAGCTTTTATTTGTGGCTTCTTTGGCTTGGGAATTTTCTTTTGCCGCCGGAGTGGCTGGAGTTATGGGCGTTAGTGTTAGACTCATTGAGGAACAATTTAAACTGGTGTCACTATCGATGTAATCTCCATCACCATCATCACCTTCATTTAACATCATGGTTACCTTTTGCCGCCTAACTTTTATGGGACTATCTTCCTCGGTTAAATTGCGAATTTTATCATGCTCCTCCTCCTCATCTCTGAGACTGCCTTTTTGTTTTAATAATTCTCTGGCCTTAAGCCACAATTTCACATCATGTCTGGAGGGAGCTGACATTTGGGGTTCAATGGTCACACACTTTTTCGTGGCCAAATATTCCCGTACCCTTTGAGAGTTACGATACTTGTTTAGCATTTCTGGTCCACATAAACGTATCAATTGTTGACGTCTCCATGTCGTAAGACCTTTAACGTCCGTACCCAAAATACTTTGATATTCCTCCAGATCATTCAGTTTATTACTGTTTATTTGTAATATTGTAAAGCCAATTTCTTTGTGTTTGGTAACATCATCGGGATTGCTATAATACGGTTGCTGGAATTCATATTCGGGCAGTTTGAGTTTTTGACAACCTTTTATTACTTCCTCTCTTGTCGGTGGTAAATCGAGTGGGGTTAATATCAATTTCGATTCGAAAGTTGGTGAAGACGATTGTTCACTGCTTTCATGGGACGATGATATATGAATAGCATTATCCTCCAAGGAGTTACTTGGCGGTTTGTTTTGTGTTAGGGAACATGGACTTGAGTTTTGGGTAAATAAGGATGGACTATTTTCATAAAAACTTAAAATTCCATTTTTTACGCATTTTGTTTCAACGGTTGGATTTGAAATTTCCTTGTTTTTTAATTTGGGTTCCATGGGCGGACTGGGTGTTTCGGCAATTTCATCGTCGGAACTTTGACAGAAAAATTCTATGGAAGGCGACCTTGAGGTATGTGGAATATTTGTTGGAGTCTTTTTTGATTCTTCAGTTTCAATTGGTTTTCCCAAACTTTTACCCAATTCCGATAATTTTAGTAGGGCATTTATCAAATTAGCATTGTTGCAGAATTCCATTGAATCTGTAGAATATTGCTGAGAAGACCTTTGGGAATCCAAAGATAATTGCTTTGAGGAATTTTCGGAATCAGCGCATGTTTGTTTGGATATTGGTCTTGAATATTGTTCAGAATCAGCAGATGTTGGTTTGGAAGGGACGGTGTCACAACCATCCGATATTTGTTTTAAATTTTCATTTTGTTCTGTATCCCTGTTATCTAAAAGTTCCTTATTTTCGCCTTCCATTGCGAAGTTATTCTCAACAAAACTTAGATTGTTGTCATCATCATCGATAATTAGACTTTTATCATCATCCCATTCTTCATGGCACTCAATCATCTGGTCGATCATTGATGTTTCTCGAGAACCCTCATTAATTTTGAACACTTCCTCAGAGTCTTCACTTGTTTCAAATCTTAACTGTTCCATGGTACTTGAAGTATCATTGTGTTCAACATTTTCGGATGTAGCCTCATGTACTTTTGGTTGATTGGTTTGGACTGTCTCCTCCTCCTCCTCGAGTTGCATTCCAATGATAGGTTCGTTGCTAGGTGTTATTTCTTTTGTAGATTTAGTTAATACTTGAGGAATTACATGGGTTTTATTATTGTCCTCGGATACATATTGTTTGGACTGGTTATTTCTTGAACTGACAACATCCTCAAGAAACATTTCCTGTTGCATTTTAATGGTAAGTTCGATTTTCGATTTTCTTTCATTTTTCGAGTTAGAAATTGCCTGCGGTAATCCTGATGCGTTATCTCTTACACTGGGATCCTTCAGCAGGGGGTTTTCTTCACGTGGTTTCCTTTCTTTTCTAGATATTGAGGAATTTGATTCAAGTTCGTCCTTCTGAATCCCCTTTTTTATATTGTCCACCTCAATAACAGGTTCTTTGTTTCCCTCCATTATAGATTTTGAAATTCCTCGAGTAACTCTTGTATGTGTTAGATTTATCAAGTTATTTTTGGATTTATTTGAGCATTCCTCTGGCTGATTTTCTACGGCTGGAATGGTCACTTCCTGTTCCACTTTTCCCATGGGCAAATCATTGATATGGTTTACTTTTATCGACTTTGACGTTCTTTGAGCAGCTCTTCTAGACCTTAAATTTGGCAAGATATTTTCAGATTTAGTGGGACATTCTTCCGGATGGGTTTCATTTGTGGCTTTTAAATTATACAATTCAAGTGGAGATTGTGGATCTTTTTTATGTCGTGAACGATTTATGACATTCGAAGTGATATGTTGCTCCACATTATTATGACATTTATCTGTCTGACTTTCTATTGTACTACCAGCTACAATTGTATCACCTTTATTTGGAAATTTATTTTCCATGATACTTTTAGAGAGTCCCTGAAGTACTCTTTGACGTCTTAAATTTTCCGAAGAAGCTTTATCATCCTTTCCATCGTTTGTTATTGTGTATCCTTTATCCATTCTCATTAGGGACATGTTTTTGATTCTTCCTCTTTTGCATTTAGACTGTCCTTGAGAGACTGATGTAGTTTGATTTGTTTCCATATCATCCATTTCCTTTTGCTCTACTTTTATAGACGTACGTAGGCTCTCAGAGACTGTTTCAACTAGAGGGTTTTTTGAAATATAGCTAGGATGGTCTTCATCACTAATAGTTGTTTTAGTTGTTTGATCTTCAGTCTCCTTAAGGACTTCCAAGTTGTGTTGTGTCTTCAAATTCAGATTTGTAATATTTTGTTTTGCAATGTCATGGATATTCTTATCGCCTCGTTTTTCGCTTTCCAAATTCGTAGAAGGTCTTAGGCATACTCTCTTTAAACGTACACGGCATTTTTTCAACGCAGATGGATAATTTATAACATTATCACTCGCTGCCATAACTATTGTTTCTTTGGCTTCCACATCGAAATTTTCTGTAAGGGCTTTTGTGTTGGAAATGTTCTTGGAATTGACATTCATAAATATTCTCTTCATTTCGCCATCTGTTTCTTTGGGTATATTTTCAAATTTAGATGTATTATCTTCTAAATGATTTGCCCGTTTATTATCCAATTCTAAAGATTTCAAACAATTTCTTTCATCCAATTGTTTTCCGCTTGATATTTTATCAATACCTTCATTATCTTGGCATTTTATTTTACGTCTCTTAGCTGAATGGGACGATGAAAGAAAACTACGTCTTAAACGCTTTAAATTTGGTGTTTTACGAAATTGAAACGAAGGATCTTCTACAGCAACTACCTCGTCAGAGATAATAATTTCCTCATTTTCTTCATCCGTTGCTTTGTGACCAGAGATAATAATTTTCTCATTTTCTTCATCCGTTGCTTTGTGACCAGAATTTGAAGTATTATTTTTAAACAGATTAGATTCAACATTATCTTGAATATTTGAAGAAAATATATTTCTAATGGCATTTTTGTTGTTGTCGTTGGAGTTTAAATCATGATGACTATTTAGATGACTATTTGTTTCACCTTCTGTGTGGATGACATCATCATTGACGACTTTCTTTTGCTCAACATTTTCACTGCCTTCAACACTGTAGACTCTTAATAATTTTTCACTAGTTCTACGGGGTGTTAGATTGCAGGTTACATGGGTTTTATCTAAATTTACAGTCCTTCTCGAACGTCTACGATTTGAACTAGATAGAAAAGAAGAAAATCGATTAGTATAGGGAAAAAAATCTTAGGGGAAAAGTTTGATATTTAAAGTAAAATAATTTATCTCAAAAGGTGGTGAAGAAAGTGAATGGTGAATAGCAGCAATAATCTGTCGGGTATAAATTACTGTTAGATCTTGAAAATATCAAAACCAGATACCAGATTCTAGTTTTTGCAGGTCCTCACACCATGATTGGTCGCCTGATTGTATTGACATCTATTGTATGCAGCCTACAACATTTTCCTGTATTTTCTTTCCGACATCCCCGAGAAATTTCATCCATTCCCAGTAATGTACCATATTTCCCTCACATAGAATAAGGAATATTGATTTCAACTCTCATCATGGATGTATGGTATTCTCAACACCCATATGATTCATGCGGTAATATAGGTACCAAACGAAAGAAATAGATAAAACCGATCTTATTAGATATCCTGGTCACTGTAGAAAAACACAGCGATATAGTGGAGCTCAACTTGTCGCGACTTTCAGCTGTTACTATCCACAACCAGAGTAGTAGAGGCCATAATCATGGAGTACCAAACTAACATTTTACCAGCATACTTAGCTGGCTTGTGACAGAACATATGTCGAAAAAAAATTTCCAGGCGCAAGACCATGTTCCGAAATGTTCTCTTGCGCTTGATATTTCCATTGAATTCATGGCCTTCCCCTTCTGCGTGAACAAGTCGGCTCGCTTTTATATGCATTTTGTGCTGGGGCATCCTAGTCCATTCTCACAACATGACCTGGTCAATGTAGTCGCTGCAGCTCGATGCGTCTGACAATGCCGATGTCCGAGAACAGATGGTACAACTCATGGTTCATTCGACGGCGATATTGACAGTCAATGCAAATCGACCCATAGATCTTTCGGAGAATTTTTCTCTCAAACACTCCAAAAGCTGCCTCATCTGCTTGCGCAAGTACCCATGCTTCAGATTCATACATCAGCACGGGTAGTATCAGCGTCTTGTAGAGTGTAAGTTTGGTTTGGCGAGAGGTGGCCTTGTTCCTATATTGCTTACTCAGGAGGCTGATGTTACAATCATTGGACATGTATTCCTGTAGCTAAATTGTACTAATCAGTGTGTGCATGGTGCAAGGAGTCCTTTCGTCAAGAAGGTGGGTAAGTTGAGCGAAGTAAGGTTCTGCTATTTGTTGTGTTTACAGCTTTTGACGTCTAGTTTCCTTTACAAACCAACATTTTAGAACTATAAATTTCTGGATTTATAAATTTAAATATCTTGAATTTTTGTAAGATTAGGTTCGGTTAGACTTCGTCACACCTCGGGTTAGATTGGACTTCGACTACCCTCGCAAGTTAAGATGTTGTCAAAAGAATCGAATCGAAAGTTACTCAAAATTATTAGCGGAATTAACGAATCAAATCTAGGCAAATGGACCAGTAATTGACAATTAATTATATTTCCATTTTTTTAGATTTACTGACTTACTGCGTATTTTCTTCAAGCACAGGATATTCCGATACATTTTCTTGTTCCGGCATTTCCACAGAAATACTTTTTCGTCTCAATTCTGATAAAGCCAATCGTTTACGCAATGATATACTGAAATTAAAAAAAGTAAATAATATTTATAAACCATATAACAATTTGATAAACTTACATATCCTTAGTTTTGTCTTCCGCAGATGATTTTGAAGGCGTCTCAGAATCGGGATTGGTTATAATTTCTACAAACAAAATATTTTTATAAAAAAAAATAAAATATCAAATCCTCTCAACTACATACGTTTCCCCGTCGAAAGATTGGTAATAATCAATGGCAATGCTTTATATTTGTGACCACTTTTGGGAGTTCTTGGTGAACGGTGAGAAGACGGTGATGCACCCAGTGTATGTCGTCTATTCGGTGTAGTTGGTGGTGTACGTGGTGGCGTTTTTGTTGTATTTGGAATGGTTTTTTTATTTTTATTCGGTGTCTTTTGTATATCATCTGAACCATCGTGCTGTGGTAAAGATGTTTGTATGGGCTCTGTTTCTGTGGCCTTTGTTTGTGTTAGCTTCAAAAGAAGTTCATCTAAATCATCCAGGGCCATAGAAAAATCATTAAGATTATCATCGGTGTCATCGGTTTTATTTAAATCATCATCAGCATCGTCCTCACTGTGGCAGTGAGATTTTTCTAATGCTGCTACAGCGGTTTCCTTGTCCAATAGTTCGGGAGATAAGGCGACTATGAGGATATATAAAATGAAGGCAGTAATTGTTAGTAAATATATGAATAATACTTTTAGTATTTCATGCCAATTTTTTAATATTCCATTTTCAAAGAATCAGCTTTTTTGTTTTTTGCTTCAAAATGTCAGCATCATTTAAAGGTAGATGCAGTTAAAATTTTGAAAAATTATACTTAAGGGGCATAGTCCCCATTTTGTTGGCTTCTGGTTTTACTTTGACACGAAGACCGTGAAATGAGTGGCTTAATCACAAATCGATAGAGAACATAAAATCAATGATAGTAGACACAGCATCCACCAAAATAAATTTTGGAGGTCAATATCTTTATTTTCTATTAGGATTCATAATCATTTATTTTCATAGACAACTTTCAACATACTTACAATCTTTTTGGTTTTGTGATAAAGGTGCCAAACTGCTATCCAAATCAATTTTCTCAATGTTATTGTCATCTTCCAGTTGTTGCAATATATCCAACAACTCCATGTCTTCTTCACGTACTAAAAAATCGAAAAAAAAATATAAAATTTTTTTATTTTATTTTCCACACAATCCCCTTGTTCATGCTTTGCTTACATGTTGCATTATGTGGCACATGTTGTTGCTGTGATTGTGTTAGACTCAATATCAAATCTTCATCAACTATGGTATCTTCTAGGAAAACACTTTCATCTTCTGTCATCTCCTTTTCATCATTTACGTTTTTTGTTAAATCCAAGAAATCTTTGCTCAAAGACGAAGAAACACTTTGTTGAAAAACATTATTATTGGATAGATGATTTTCGACAACTGAAGCATTTATTAAATTTTCACTTTCCTGCGAACATTCTTCAGGATAAACAGCATTTTGTAACATTTTCGATAAATTGAAGGTTCGTTTTTGTTGGTGTCGTGTTGCTCCAAGACTTGCGTTCAATGTTGTATTTGACATATTTGCTTGTAATGTACAATTTATGGTATGATCTGATGATTGTGTAGTTTCCATTATGGAATTTTCCATGGTTATAAGTTTACTAACTAAGGCAGTGCGATAAAATATTTCACTTTCTGTTGGATAGGCAATTGGACGTTCTTGTGTTGGTGGTACTTCGAGGGTAGGTATCTGAAGAAAAACAAAAAACCAACATGCAATTTGAACAAAGAAAATAAAATTTAAAATTTTCTACAACTTACCCCTTTCAATTTCTCCTCATCATCTTTAAAGCTCTCGTACATTTTCTCCCTCCTCAGCTTTTCATCATTCCATATCGATTCAATACCCGGATTTGAATGTGTGGAATTTTTACTTTTCGTAACAAGTTGAAAACGATTTAATATGAAATTTGAACCAATATCACATTCAACACTACAACAAGACATCTTTTTGGCCATATCACAATCCAAGAGTTGAGCCTCAGTAATGTTTTTTATCGGCACAATATGGGTATCATCTGGACGACGAAATTTGACAATTTCCAGCGGTACATGTATCATGCTCATCCCGTATAAATTATAATCAATCATAAATTGTAAAATATACGGCACATGAGCTTCGTGTGGATGGAAATTTTTATTCATAATAGCACCATTTTGTAAAAGATTTGCGGCTCGACGCACAAAACGTGGATTGAACATGTGTATTTTTAGATATTGATGTTCGGAACGATGATAGCCATAAAAGGGTCTGCAAAATGAAGGTGGATTTTATAATTATCTTTAAATTGGTGTACTATTTCTTTACTTACATGCCCTTAACCAGTTGCACCTTGAATACATGTTGAACATTTGAACTTCCCTGACTCAGTGATATGTTAATAGCTTTATCTAAATTCATGGCTATTTGATAAATAGCCTTATTTACCGATTCGAAATCTTTCTGATCGTAGGGAACATAGAAGTAAGGAAATACGCCATGAACATGCATACACGTCTTCTGTCCTTGGGCATTGGAGCCAAATATGCGAATAATGGGAACCTGTTTGGGGAGAAAAATAACAAAATTAATACACTAATAATATGAATTATTTATTAATATATTGTATGCATCTGATCTGTTCCCGAACCTGCAGGAACACATTCTAAGTCCATTTATGGCATGTCAGTCCGTCCGCCTGTCTGTCGATGTTAAATTGTTAACAAAGTATACGTCACATTTATAATCCGAATTGGATGAAATTTGGCACAGTTCATTAATATAGCCCAAGGACGAACCCTATTGAAAATCGGTTCAGATTTAGATATAGTTCCCATGTATATTTTCGTCCGATTTAATGTAAATGGTGTATCAAAGTCTCTATATATCTTTCGATCTTCACAAAATTTTTTACAGCGTACTGAATTAAGTCTACAATGATGTGTGTAAAGTTTCGTGAAAATCGGTTCAGATTTAGATATAGCTCCCATATATATTTTCGTGCTATTTAATGTAAATGGTGTATCAAAGTCCCTACATATCTTTCGATTTGCACGAAATTTGGCACAGCTTACTGAATTAAGTCTACAATGATGTGTGTTAAGTTTCGTGAAAATCGTATCAGATTTAGATGTAGCTCTCATATATATTTTAGTCCGATTTAAGGTAAGTGGTGGACCAAAATCCCTGTATTTCTTTCGAACTGAATTAGGTCTAGAATGATCTGTGTTAAGTTTCGTGAAAATCGGTTTAGATTTACATACAGCTCCCATATACATTTCCTTCCGATTTTATGTAAATTGAGCATCAAAGACCTTAATTTTGTCCCATTGATACACAATTTTGTACAATGTATTGAAGTTAATATAAATTAATCTCTTGCCAAGTGTCATTGAAATTTGTTCAGACTTAGATATAGCTCTTATTGGGATTAAATTTTGAACAGTGCGGCATACCGAATAGCGTGTATCGTTTGCCGTAAATCGATTAGTCCCTTGTACGCAAACGTCTTTAAAGTATATTGTACTCCCTTATATAAATTATATGAACTTTTCTATAAATAGGATTCACTTCCAATACACCAACCTTTTTAATTTCTTTGCCGCGAAATTCCGAATAAACAGGATCTAAGCCCGGCACCGGTTTCTCCATGTAAAAATCGGCGATAACCAGCCGTAAAGAAAATATTCCATCATTTGCCGCCATATTTATTATCAGTTGTCATTGACAAAGCAAATTAAATAGCATTTTTTTCAAAATTTTATTTAAAAAAGTAAACTTGTGAAATTCCCATGGACTAGGAATCAAAACAAAAACAACCGAATATATGATAGGGTACTAAAGACGGAAAATGTCAGATGACATGGGCTTTAGAAATCGTTTTTTACTAAATAAACAGCTGTTCTCCTATAAATGATTCGATAACACCAAATGTTATCGGTATAAAGAGGTTCACACTATATGCGACTTCATTGCAGAAATTTATGCAAAAAATTGTACTTACGGGAATAGATAATATTTAAATTCTTGCACAAAGATAAAATATTTCAATTTTTCCTCCAAATTTTTTTTTTCTGATAAAACAGAAAACCCTTTAAACGATATGTATATAACTTTTGACGTGTTAACCCCCTCTATGGCAATAGTTCCGTTCCAGAACCTAAAATAATCTACTAATTTTACAATTTTGCAACTTTTTACTCGAAAACCTTTCCTGAACCCACAAAACTGGTAAAACATTAATTCAAATTTAAGAGAGCCCAAAACAAAAGGGCGTTCTCTTTGTAAACTCTTTACTCGAGAAATTTGGCCGATTAAAAATGGCCAGCAGGCATATTGAGCAAATTGAATACGGGAGCACTTTTAATAAAGAACAATTTCAAATTGTATGCGTTCCCAATTTTCCTATTGGATGATTTTTAAAAGCATAATTTTTCAAATTCATATTGACACTAGTCTTTCGTTGGAATCAAATCAACTGGGATTTGCTGTTACCTTTTTTAATTGGTATATGATATATATATATCATTGTACAATTATGCAAGGTAGGGTATATTTTGTCAACAAAGAAAAAAACTCCTCTACATTGTGGGCTATAATATCAGAATAAATAAAAACAATTTTTCCTCTATGATATCGGAAGATCACCAAAGAATAAGAAGCTATTACTAGATCTTGACCTAGGCCTAGGTTCGTTGTGTCAGAACTCCTCAAAGTTCCGAAAAAGATGACAGATAGGTGGTTTGATTGAGCAATCGATTGCTAGATCTGTAGATTGAGATCCTCGTCTAGCTAATTCGTCTGCTTTTTCATTACCCATGATGTCACGGTCTCCTGGTACCCAACACAGCCGATAGCTGTAAGTGAGTGTTTCCAAAAAAGCTCTATACTCAAGGACGAACTCATATTAATAATATGAGTTCGTCCTTGAGTGGCTTTAAGAGCCGCCTGACTATTCACAAAGATAGTCACCGGTTCAACGATCTCTGCATCCAGACTTTGCTAGGTTCAAGTCGTCTCTACTAGGGATAACGACACCTAGTCCGTTCAGGATACATCGATTTTCGATTATCGATTTTGTTCATGCAGCCTTAGGGCACTACGCGCTGCCTGACGCTTAATGCTGTGGCACAGAGTCCTTAAGTTCAGCATTGCGTTCAAAGCTGCTTGTGGGGTGCTTCTCGAGGACTCAGTTATTAGAATCGAGGCGGCTCTTTGTACCTTGTCGAGTTTACTGGATGTCGATTTGTGGCGCAAGTAATGCCACAAAACAAGAGAACCATAGGAAAGGATGGACCTTACTACCGTGTTATATAACCAGTGTTGCCAAACGAACGAAACGAACCAGCTGTACCAAACGAAACCAGTGTATATTCGATGGTTTTAGCCCCCAATGGAGTTCTTGCATGCATAGTGTCATCTGCTCTCTCTCTCTTCGCCCGTTCCTATTCCATCGTAATGTACAATCCAGGATTGTGCCATTTTGCTTCGGACGACGGATAAAGCTGCACTCCATCCAGTGTCGGTGGAGCAAAGACGCCGAGCTTACGTTTCCTAGTGAACATTACCAGATCTATCTTTGTTGGATTTACTCCAAGGCCGTTAGCCTTGGCCAGCCTGACAGCATCGATAAGGCTCGTTGCATAATCTCCGAGATTGTTAACGGAAAATTTCCGGAAATCAATATCACCTCGTCGTCCGCATAGCTTAAGACTTTGATACATTTCCCGTCAAGTTCCATCAGAATATTGTTGATTACCAATAGCCATAGCCAACGGTGAGAGCACCCAGCCCTAAGGAGTACCTCTTGTTACGTTTTCCTGATTTTCGTATCCCCTACATTTGAATTTATAATTCTGCTATTTAGCATTTTATCTATGCAACAAGTAAGGGTTTCAGGAATACTAACTTTTTTAAGTGAGTGGTTTGCGGACTCAACAGACTTGCCTTTTATATATGCGTGCTGCGAATTGCTAAGAGAGGTAGTCGATCAATCTTTCGAGAGTCTTGAGTAGAAAGGATGATAGGCTAATGGGTCTATAGTCCTTTGGTGCAGAGTGACTTGGTTTACCCGTTTTGGGAATGTAAGTAACCTTTACCTCGTTCCATAGACCCGGAACGCACGAGAGAGTTAAGCACTCCATATATTTCTTCTCAAGGATCAGATATATACATGGCGGGATATATACTTTGTAGCTATTCTGAAATAAAGTATCATTCTAGTCTATAAATGTGTTAAAGCTGTCCATACAAAATTTAAAACATTATAAATATTTTCCGGGTTAACCAACTCTATGAGGATTTATTTGACATGTATGGAATTGACAATAGAAACTCACTGGGTAACGAAATCCAGTACAATGTTAATGAACTATCACCTGACTCTGAGATCTCGCAGACTGGGGACATTGTGGCGCCCAACGTTTCAGAGCATCACAGGCCACCAATCATGGGAATTTATTGTGGCGCCCAACGTGTTTTTTCCTTTGATCTCAGATTTGCTTCAGATCACAAAAATTCTTTGCTCCTACAACAAATTGTCAAAAGTAAAGAAAAAAAATTCTCAAAGAATAAAAACATTTGTTGTCACATTAAAGTTTTTTTTAGATATAAATCATCTCAAATTCATCACTTTCAAATATCTCATTTCCGTATTTTTAAAGGGTGAAAAATAGATTTGTAGAACAAACTATAAATAAAATAGGTATAGCCCACGCCCCTATTTTATGTATTTTAATGGTCCTTGCTCCGACGGAAGGCAAAGATGAGCAGACCAAGGACATATTTTACGAGCGCCTAGAAACAGCATATGACCGCTGCCCTGGCCATGACATTAAAATTCTGCTAGGAGATTTTAATGCAAAAATCGGAAGGGAAAATATTTCAAGTCCCACCGTCGTAAAATTCAGCCTCCATGAAGAAAACTCCGACAACGGCACGAGGTTGATTGATTCGCGGCAGCAAAAAAATGGTAGTTAGCAGCACTAGATTCAAGCATCTCGATATATACAAGGCCACCTGGATTTCTCCTGATCAAGTAACGTGAAATCAAATTGATCCTGTTGTGATAGACGGAAGGCATTTGTCTAGTGTTTTAGACGTTCGATCGACACGAGGAGCGAATATCGATTTGGACCCTTACCTTGTGGCAGCAAACAAAACAAATAACAGAATCATACTCCTCTCAACTTACCCACTTGCTTGACGAAAGCACTCCTTGTCCCGATAATAATATAGAAGCACAATGGCAAAGAATTGCCCACTCCCTACACACAGCAGAAGAAACCCGTGGTACGATCAGAAGTGTCGTAATGCTACTGAGGCGAAAAACGCAGCGTATAGGGTAACACTGCAGACAGTAGCAACACGTAATGCGATGGAAAATTATCGGGAGAAACGGAGAGAGGAGAAACGTATTTTCAGAAAAAAGAAGAAAGAACAAGAAAAACGTGAGCGTGAACAAATCGAGATGTACAGGAGTCAGAATCAAGTTCGGAAATTTTACCAACGAGTAAAACACCTAACCGAAGACTTTGGCGCAGGCACATCTTCCTGTAGAGATGAAAATGGAAACCTGGTGACAGATACAGATAGCGTGATAAGGATCTGGAAGGAGCATTATGAAAAGCTGCTGGTAGCAAATGGTGATGCTTTAGAGTATATACCACCTAGCCAAGATGAGGTCAGAATAGCAATCAATGGGCTGAAGAATAATAAAGCAGCAGGCGCCGTTCAAGACCGGTGATAAGATGCTGGTCAGGAACATGCAACAGCTCATTTGCACAATTTGTACAATCACTAGAGGAATGCATGCCCAGCATCCCGTGTCCCGTGCACAAAAAAGGACACAAGACTCAGACACAAAAAGGACTCATTCGACAGAGGTGTTTAATGTCTGCGTTTGACATTCCTGCAAAATTAGTACGATTATGCAGGATAACTTTAACTGGTACAAAGTCAGCAGTTAAAGTAGAACACGACCTATCGGAGCCCTTGAATACCGAACGAGGATTCAGACAAGGTGACAGTTTGTCGTGTGACCTGTTAAAATCCTGCGAGATGCAAATGTGAACAGAATTGGCACTCTGTATACAAAGCAGCATATGTTACTCGCATACGCCGTCGACATCGACATAATGGGTCGAACATTGCGAGCGGTAACAGTCACCTTTGAACGAATTGAGAAGGAGTCTGCCAAAGTGGGACTAGCAGTAAATGGCGAAAATACCAAGCAGATGGTATCAACGTGCACGACGTCCAGTAGACTCGGACCAACTGTCGAACTTGAAAACTGCAGCTTCGAGGTAATAAACGATTTTATATACCACGGTACCGCCATAAACAAATCTTGAAATATTCTTAAAAAAATGATGCTGTCATTAAGTTTTCTTAATTTTTTGTTGTTGTATTTATTTTTAGATTTTCTCCTTTTATTGTTGTTTATTTTCATTATAACATGTTCATAGATTTCAAATGTTAATCTGAGTATGCAATTTTTTGTGAATGCAATATTGTTGTTGTCATTTGTTTTTTATGAATTTCAATTTAAATATTTCTTTGTTTGTGTTGGTTGAATTTGTTTGTTGTATTATTAATATTATTAAAATGCTTATTTTAATTTATTATTTTAAATTGTATTATAATATAAACATTGTTGCTGTTAGAAAGTTTAAAAAAAAATTATAATAGTAAATCGCTCGCTAAATT